CTCCTCTGTGGTCTTGCCTCCTTTTGCAATTATATATTTATCTGCGTGATTCTTTGAGAAATCTGTTTCCCAAGTTGAGCCACGTGACAGCCAGAGTTGGGTCACTCCTTGCGTTGCAGTCACCAGCCCCCCACATGACAGAGGTTAAAGGGGAGAATGTGGCCACGAATGAGAAGTGAGGCAGTTGTCGGCCTCTTGGGAAGGGCAAACACGTGAGTTGGGTGGGCTTCCTCTCCCCTTACCCAGGGCCCTGTAGGCAGGCACGATGGTGACAGTGACGAGCTCAGCAGTCCACCTGGTCTGGATGGTGAAGGTGAGAGCATCAGGGACTCCCTGCAACACTCCCAGGACCTCAAGTCCAAGGGCCAGCAAGTCCTGGCAAGTCCACAGCTTCTTCCTGATCATTCTTAGAACAGCCTGGTGGTGCTTGGCCTCCTGCTGGAAGCTGTGGAAGCAGCTCAGAAACACCACCAGCTCCACCTCTGCGCTGCTCCTGAGCACCGTGCCATTGCCGAAGGAGCCCACCTGCAGAACACAGAACCCGGTCACCCTGGGGCCACTCTCTGTGCCAGGCAATCCCTGAGGTCACCACACCCCTAAGGAATGGGTTGGTACCCATTTTTTTTAAAGATTTTATTTATTTATTTTTAGAGAGAGGAGAAGGGAGGGAGAAACAGTGGGAGAGAAACGTAGATGTGCAAGAGCTACAGAGATTGGTTGCCTCTAGCACACCCCCAACTAGGGACCCTGCCTATAACCCAGGCATGTGCCCTGACTGGGAATTGAACCAGCGACCTCTCAGTTTGCAAGCCGGCACTCAATCCACTGAGCCACACCAGCCAAGGTGGTACCTGTTCTTTACAGATGAGAAGACTGAGATGTCCAGAGGATAAGCCATAATAAGCATTGAAGGGGCTAGGAAGGAAAAGGAACCCTCTTTCACTGTGGGTAGGAATGTAAGCTGGTACAACCACTATGGAAACCGGTGCGGCATTTCTCAAAAAATTAAGAATTGAGTCACCATATAACCCAGCAGTCCCTGTTCTGGGTGTCTCCCTGAATAACTCGAACACATTTGTTCCCAAAGATACATGTACCCTATGTTCACTGCAGTGTTATTCACAGTGGCCTAGATGTGGAGACAACCAAAGTGCCCTTGGAAAAAGGATTGTGCTAAGATGTGGTGCATGTATCCAATGGACCACTACTCAGCCATGAGAAAAGATGAGATACTGCCATTCACAACTACCTGGATGTTGTCGTGAACCCAACACGGATGGATCTTTAGAGTATTATGCTAGGCCAAATAAGGGAGTCAGAAAAAGCTACGAACCACGTGATTTCGCTCTTGTGGGATATAAAACTGAAACTCACAGACAACAGCATGGTGGTTACCAAAGGGAAGGGGGTGGGGTAGTAAAGGGTAAAGGGGGCCAAATACATGGTGATGGAGGATGATTGGACTGTGGGCGATGATCATGCAATGCAATATATGATCATGTGTCATAGAAAGGTACACTTGAAACTTATACAACCCTATGAGTCAGTGTCACTTCAATAAGTTTAATAATAAAGAAGAGGATAAGCCACCTGCCCAGGGTGACAGGGGACACAGCCTGACTCCAGAGCCCATGATTCTTATTTCCTACACTCCGTCACTCTGAAACTCTGTCTTCTGACCTGCAGAGTTGTGTCTGCTCCAAGGAACTAGGAATGCTTACTCCCTAAGGTTTTTTTTGAGAATCTTGGGGGGTGGGCTGTCTGAGTAATTTTATGACATTAAAAAAGGGGTGCAGGATTGCCTGGTGGATAAGAACTGTGGGCTGCGGAACGGGGTAGCCTGACTTTGGCCTCGACTCTGGCCCTTGCTTTCCAGCTGTATGATCATTCTGAACCCTACATCTATAAAATGACGGTGCATGAGTCATTGGCTCCCTCGAAAGTTTAGATGAGGGAGTGCGTGCCAAAAGCTTGCTGTAATGACCGCCACGCAGAAGTCAGCTACGTGTTCCTCTCCCTCCTCTTTCTCTGGCTGACTCACATCATGCCTTCTGCTGCTTGGGATTCACTTTCCCCATCTGGATGGAAGGAGCCTGAGCCGGACGATTTGGGAAGGGGTCTTTTTGATGTTCTGAGATTCTGGGCTTACTTCCCTGTTGTCTCTAGCACACAAAAGCCCTGCAACTCTCTGGCCTTCCTTCTTTCTCACTCCAGTTCAAGAGGTGGAGTTGCTGAGGAGTGAACAAACAGAACGCAAGTCAGCCCCCCCTCCCAGTGGGTGAATCACTGCGGCTGCTGTGGGTTGAGCACTCATGCCTGGCATTCCTGAAAGCCCTTCATGCATACGACACCTTTTCATCCTCCCACCCACTGATTGAGGTAGGTACTAGTATAATTATACCCAAAGTGCAGATGAGAAAACTGAGGCAGTGGGGGTTCATCAACTTGCCATGGGCTCCTTGTCAGGAGTCAGAGTCAGTTAAAGAGTCAGAACCCAGGGTGCTGTTCTTTGAAGTCTTTCTTCCCTATGACCCTCGTCTATGAGCCAGACCCTGTTTCTGAGAAGGCGGATCACCTGCCATCTTTTTTCCCCTACCTCATTCTCTACTCGAGTTTAGACTCAGTGTTCTTGCCCCATGGGAGAGGGTTGGGGACGGTTCCCTGTGTGTGGACAGAGGCCACATCCCGCTGAAGGCCTTAACCAGTGATAAGAGACAGAGAGGAAAGAACTGGCTTCAGGACTTGCTTCAGTTCAAACCTGTTTAAACCCAACTCATTCAAGGGCAAGCATTCACTCATGTGGACCAGCCCAGCTCACCCGATTTTCAGGGTGGGGGGGGGGGGCTTGGAGGCCGATTGAAGTATTATTTCTCACTGGCTACTGCTCTTCAGATATTTCTATTATTGCATGGTTTCAAGGGGAGGAGTGGACATGGTCTGCGGGCAGAATTTGAGAGCTGGGTAAATGTCATTTCCTGCTGTCCACACTCATTCTGTTTGTAGCATCCTCCTGTTGGCAGGCTTCCCCCTCCCGTCCGCTACTTCATTGTCAGGGTTGTCAAGGGGGTGGTCTGGGAGGGTCTGCTTGACTCTTACTGGTGCCCAAGACCGAAGAGATAGCTCAGGCAAGAATTTATAATGATACTTTTTTTTGGAGCATTTACTATGTGCTAATCATTTAGCCTGCTTCCCCGTTTGCTTGATGAGGCAGAGATGCAGCCGCTGCTGCCCTTCCCCCCCTGCAGACGAGAAGGCAGAAGGTTTCAGAGCTATGATGGTAAATCTGCAGTCACAGAGCCGGTAAGGGAAGAAGGCAAGACTCACACTTAGGCCTGTCTGACGTCAAGATGTGTGGTTTCCCACTTCTAGATCCTTCCCTGAGGCCCCTGGAGATAGATCTAGAGCCCTGGGCTGGAAACCAGAATTTGGGGGTGGGGGGAGGGTTCTTAATGTGAGTCTTGTCTTTGCCACCGCTTTCTGTGTGACCTTGGGACATCTCTTACCCTCTCTGGGCCTCGGTTTCCTTCATGTTTAAATGAGGGATTGACTGAGGCTGTTGGGTTCTCCATGGTCTTTCTAGTTTTGACCCTCTCGAGTTTTGATCCTAGGAGGTGACATGAAGCAGCTGGAGGAAGGGCCTGGAGCCTTGGCTGTGGAGTCAGATAGACCCTGGTTCAAATCCCGGCTCTACCACGAGCTTGTGATATTGCGTAAATTACTTCACCTTTCTGTGCTTTCATGAAAAAAAAAACTTTTTACTACCGCAAAAATTTAAATGTAGAAAGAAAACACCATGAACTCCTGCATCCAGTCATTTAGAGTCAACAAGTCTCAGCTCCTTACCATATTTGCTTCATCTAAACCACAATGAAGTAAATGACACACGCCACGAATCTGTGTCCCTAAATACTTGAGCATTTGTGTCCAATGGGAGAGAACATTTCTGCCATAAGCACAAAACTATTACACCTAACAATACCAGCAATGATTCCCTTAGATCGCCTGATATCCAGGTCATGTTTCTAAACAATATTTTATGGGTGAACTATTCACACCAGGAGCCAGTCAAAGACCTTGCTTTGCATTTGATTATTATGAATCATAAGTCCCTGAGCCTCCACTTTGCTCATCTGAAAAAGGGGAAAGGAATAGTACCTACCTCACAGGATGCACAAATTAGAGATAATGTATTTTAAGGGGTTAGGCTAGAGCACCCACAAAACTGAGCGATTATTAGCTTCTTCCCAGTTCATTCTCCTGGAGGCAGCAATATGCTGGGGTGTGGGCAACTAAGGTGGGATGTCCTGAGATGTCAGCGCTATGGGCTAGGGATACGGAGGCAAGAGACCCCCAGAAACCTCAGAAGGAGGATACGGACCCTCCTTCTGGGCTTGCCCAGCCCTGGCCCGGGGCTGGAGAAGACCAGTCTCACCTTCAGCACCTTCAGCACTTGCACCTCCTGGTCCAGCCCGTCTTCCCCCTGGAGGGCCTCTGCCCTCAGGAACTGCTCCACGGTCCGCACAGCATCCAGCACCTCTTCTTTCCATTCCCGGTTGGGCTGCAGCCACTGGGCCACGAAGGAGTCCAGCCTGGAGGCAGGGATGCCATACAGCTCCGGGGACAGTGCCATCTCTGTCCGAGAGTAGCACTGCTAGACACATATATAGCCACACACCCAGCCCCTGGCATCCTTTCCCTTCTTTAAGGAAGCTCCTCCTCAGTTATCCTCTTGCACCTGTTGGGATAAAGGACCACCGTGGGGAGGAAACCAGGAGTGACTGGGCTGATCTGGGGCATCTTTTGTGGAGACAGGGGTCTCCTCACTGTGGCAGAGGCGCTAAGAGACACTGAGCCAAGGCTGGAAAGTCTGGGGCCACCTTAACAGGCTTGGCTTCTGGCCCACCTTTCTGCTATTGCTTTCGATTCTCCACTCTTTGAGTTTCCATTCGATGACGTTTGGAAACTGAAATTGGCTTGAGTGTGGCCCTTAGAGGAGGTGACTTTCCCAGTAGGTAGGAGTTGGATGCCACTGTGTCACCCAGTCACCCCACCTTGACATACAAACTGAGGTACAGAAGAAGGGGCTTGTCCACCGTCGGGATGAGCAAGTCAGACAGGAGAATTCTGAGCAAGTCACAACTCTCAAGTCAGACAGGACAGATTTATTAATTTTTTAAAATTTAAATATGTTTCACTTTTTTTCTGTGTTAGTTTACATTCATTATTATTTTGTATTAGTTTCAGCTGGACAGCACAGTGGCTAGACAATCATACCATCTACAGAGTGTTTCCCCTGGTGGTTTGAGCCCACCCGGCACCATGTGTGGTTATTACAACATTATTGATGGGATCTCCTATGCCGGACTTCACGTCCCCGTGACTGCTTTGTAACCGCTAATCTGTACTTCTCAGTCCCTTCACCTTTGTCACCCAGTCCCCCAGCCCCCACCCCTTGTGGCAACCGTCGGTCTGTTCTCTGTGTCTATGAGTCTGTTTCTGTTTTGTTTGTTTATTTTGTTCTTTAGATCCTACATGCCAGTGAGATCATATGATGTTTGGCTTTCTCTGACTTATTTCACTGAGCTTAATGCCCTCTAGGTCCATCTGCGTTGTCACAAATGGTAAGATTCCATTCTTTTTTATGGCCAAGTCATATTCCATTGTATATATGTACCACCGATTTTTAAGATATATATGTATATAATCTTTATTATATTTTTTCCATTAAAACACAGATTTTTAAAAAATCCACTTATCTACTCATGGGCACTTGGGTTGCTTCCATAGCTTGGCTATTGAAAAGGACACTGCAATGAACACAAGTGTGCATATATTCTTTCAAATTAGTGTTTTGGGGTTTCTTTAGATATATGCGCAGAAGTGGAATTGTTGAGTCATAGGGCAGTCCCTTTTTAAAATTTTTTGAAAATATATTTATTTATTTATTTTTAGACAGGGGGGAAGGGAGGGAGAAAGAGAGGAAAAGAAACATCATTGTGTGGTTGCCTCTCTCATGCCCCCTACTGGGGACCTGGTCCACAGCCCAGGCATGTGCCCTGACTAGGAACTGAACTGGCGGCTGTTTGGTTCGCAGGCCATTAGGTTGGTGCTCAATCCACTGAGCCACACCTGCTAGGGCCATTTTTAATTCTTCTGAGGAACCTTCATACTGTTTTCTACAGTGGCTGCACCAATCTGCATTCTCTTCAATAGTGCACAAGGGTTCTCTTTTCTCCACATCCTTGCCAATGCTTGTTTGTTGATTTACTGATGCTAACCATTATGGCAGATGTGAGATGATATCTCATTGTGGTTTTAATTTGCATTTCTCTAATGATTGGTGACATTGAACATATTTTCATATATCTATTTGCCATTGTATGTCCTCTTTGGAGAAGTGTCTATTCAATTGCTTTGCCCATTTGTAAATGGAGTTGGGTTTTGGTTTTGGGGTGTTTTTTTGTGTTGAGTTATATGAGTTCCTTATAAATTTTGGATATTAACCTCTTATCAGACATATCATTGGTGAATATCTTCTTCCATTGAGTGGGTTGTCTTTTTATTTTGTTGACAGTTTCCCTTGCTGTACAAAAACTTTCCAGTTTGATGTAGTTCCATTTGTTTATTTTTCCTTTTGTTTCCTTTACCTGAGAAGATATATCAGGGGAAAAAAATGTTACTAAGATAAATGTAAAAGAGATTTTACTGTCTATGTTTTCTTCTAGGCATTTTATGGTTTGGAATCTTACATTTAAAAGTTTACTCCATTTTGTGTTTATTCTTGTAAATGGTGTAAGGAGGTAGCTGAGTTTCATTTTTCTTGCATCTATCAGTCCAATTTTCTAAATGCCATTTATTGAACAGACTCTTTTTACCTCATTATATGTTCTTGCCTCCTTTATCAATGATTAATTAATTATATAGACATGGGAATACTTCTGGACTCTCTATTCTATTCCATTGATTTATTACATCTGCTTTTATGCTGGTACCATGCTGTTTTGATTACTATAACATTGTAATATAGTTTGAAATCAGATAGTATGATATCTACAATTTTGTTCTTCTTTCTTGAGATTGCTGTGGTTATTCTGGGTCTTTTATGGTTCCATAAAAATTTTTGGATTATTTGATCTAGTTCTGTGAAATATACCATTGGCATTTTGATAGGAATTGCATTGGATCTATAGGTCACTTTGGGTAATATGAACATTTAAGCAATGATAATTCTGTTTTGTGAACATAGTATTTGCCCTATTTATTTGTATCTTCTTCAGTGCCTTATAATTTTCCAAGTACAGATCTTTGATCTCTGTGGCTAAATGTATTCCTAGGTGTACAGGTCTTTGACCCCCTTGGTTACATGCATTCCTAGGTATTTTATTTTATTTTTGATACAATTGTAAATAGATTGTTTTCTTAGTTTCCCTTTTTGCTAGCTTATTATTGGTATGTAAAAATGCAACTGATTTGTGGATATTTATTTCATATCCTGCTCCTTTACTGAATTTATGTATTAGTTCTAGTAGTTTTTGGTGGAATCTTTAGGGTTCTTTATAGAATGTCATATCATCTTCCAGACAGAACAGACTTTAATTTCCAGTCAACCTTTTACAGACTCCTAACCTCCCTGGCTCTCCCATAATTTATCCACAAATGGGTCTAATAATAACACCATGCCCCACTGGTTGTCATGTACATTAAGTGTAAGAACATTGAGTAGAGAAAACATTTGGTAAATGCAAGTATTATTCATTTACTAATTATCTACTGAGTGTCTTCTAGGTGCCAGACAGTGTGTTAAGAAGACAAAATAAGATGCGTTCCTGCCCCAAGGGACCCCTAGAGCAGTGGAGGAGACAGACAAGAGACTCTGAGGATGATGTGTTCCAGGTAGAAAAAAAGAGCATGGAAACCTTGTAGAAAGCTGGGCAGAAGAGTTTCTTTGTTTTGTTTTGTTTTGTTTTTTAATTATTTATTGATTTGAGAGAGAAGAAGAGCAAGGTGGGAGGAGAGAGAGAGAGATCGATTTGCTGTTCCACTTATTTATGCATTCATTGGTTGCTCCTTGTATGTGCCCTAACCAGGGGTCTCAGGCCAAAGCAGGCACAGGTGACCTCTCCCTGGTCACAGCCCCTGAGCTCCGGTCCAGCTGAGCCACAGTTGCCCTCTGCCTGTGGGAGGCAGCAGCTCACCCCCTGTGAGCCACCAGGGCAGAGCCTGTCCCCGTGTGGCAGATGCTGGCAGAGCCCGGCCCAAACCTTGCTGGCACAGGTGGGCAACTTCCTCCTGCTGGTGGGACAACTGAGAAGTGCGTTCCACATCCCCACCCCCAGACCCCCAGGGGACACCTGCCCATCAGCACCCCTAACGGTGCACTGTCACCCAAATAAACCACTTGCCCTGGTGCCCTGGACTCAGGCTCTGCTTCTTGGGGAGCCCAACCCAAGACACCCCTCCTTCCTACAATCACTGGCTCAGAGGAGGTGGACTTGCTCAGAGCACCCGTTGGCCCCTTGGGTGTCTCGACACAGTGAAGAGACACATCCTGTGGGGTCAATGGACACGGCCTTTCCCCCTCCCATGACTGAGGGCTGGTCAGATGGCCACTGTCCAGAAGGAGCGTGTATTGTTTGGGGTATGGGTTGTAACTCCCTCCTTATCTCCTTTTGGGAGTGGCTTCTTGTCCCGTGACTGCTTCTTGACCCTTTTACACAGTGAGGTAATGTAGTTTAGAGCCACATTGTCCGGGATCCCTAATAATGAGCCTGAGACTGGAGGAGGCGTGGTGTCTGTTGCACCGACTTGTGGTCATTGGTGCACTCCCTTGTAATGTGAGTAATAATCGGCATGTTCCCATCTGCTAGTCCACCGGCTCATTTTTTTTGGAATATCACGAGTGCTTAAGCACCTTCCCAGCTTGTGCTACACACCCCGTTGTGAAATGGGTCTGCAACACAGACCACCCAGTCGATGGGAGGTCCCAGCATTTCTTCCCAGGTACTGGCTGTGCCCTCCTGACTTGAGATTTTTTTTTCTCTTTAGTGAAATTTGAAGACTATTCTGAGACTTCCAGTGGGCCACTGGCTATGTTACTTCTCTTCCACAATTCCAGTTCCACATGCCACCAGCATCCCTCACTGAAGTCAGAAATCAGCATCATCCCAGCAGCCCGCTCTGCCCAGTCCAGCAGGTCACCAAGCTCGTCAACACAAATCCCCGCAAAGCTCTTAGGTTCACCACCTCCTCTCCATCCCCACTGCCACCACCATCTGGGGAACCTTCGTTGCCCACATGAAGACAGCAATGGTGTCCTACACGGGTCTCCCTGCCCCTGGTCCTGCCCCTCCATCTTATTCTCCACAGCGCAGCTAAAATGCCGTTTTAAAGATTCAGATCTGATCCGCCGTTCTCTTGCTTCTAAAGCCAAACCCCGTGTGCTGGCGTTCAGTGCTGGTCAAAACCTCGCCCCTCCCCCCGTTCCCTTAAAAAATGCCTTTGCTGAGTTCAAAAGCATCCCAAACACTAAAGTCCCCTAAAGTCCTGGTGATTGTCCTCATTTACAGCTGAAATCCCTCTTCCAGTGCATCCTGCCGTCCTTATTTGGAGTTAAGAATCCTGAAGGAGCAAAATACATTCCTAGGAGCAAGCTATGTTTGTTATTTTCATGTTCTGACCCTCCTCTAGAGAGATGTTTCATTTGTACTTGGGTAAACTGCACACCCCTTCTATCCTCACTGCATTATCCAGGGCTTCAGTGTGCTGATAAAGCAGGTCTGCCTTCTACTGCAGATTGGAACCAAATACGACATCAGTTTTCAGAGATCAACATGCAATGTTGAGATGCAATGTAAAATCTAATAATCAACCCTGGCTGGTGTAGCTCAGTGGATTGAGCGCGGGCCTGTGAACCAGAGAGTTGCTGGTTCAATTCCCAGTCTAGGGCACATGCCTGGGTTTCGGGCCAGGTCCCTGGTCGGGAGTGAGTGAGAGGCGACCATACATTGGTATTTCTCTCCCTCTCTTTCTCCCTCCCTTCCCTTCTCTCTAAAAGTAAATAAATAAAATCAGTAGAAATAAAAAATAAAATCTAACAATGTCTGTATTCCTTATGTATTTACACAACTGTAATATAGAATAAATTTTCATAAGAACAAGGTCATTGTACAACTCTAAAGGGTCGGTGGCAGGGTGGTGAAGGCATGACCCAGCTGTCACTGGGTCCTCACCTCTGTGCTCTCTGCTACCCTCCCTCCAGTGGTCTCAGAGATTTAGTGACTGCACTCAGCACGATGCAAAGTCAGAGCAGCGACTCCCCAGCCAGCCAGCTCAGTCCCTCTCCAGACGGAGACCTTGGTCACTTAACTACGTGCTAGGAGTTCACTGTGAACATGAATGTTGCACAGCAGATGCTGGTTCTAAGTAAAACCTTTCACCAAAACTCTAGCACGGAAGGATTAGAGAACCTAAGCAGTTGGGAGCAAATCTTTGCTCCTGAAATGCCACGCAAAAATGACCTGCCAAAACAAATGACCACCAAAACAAATGACCTGCCACCTTGACTTCTGTTGTTACGGTTCAGCTCTTGTGTTCATTTGATAATGGTATAGCTTAAGTTTCTTTTATAATTTCAGCAGAAGGAAACTATTATTGCAATCACTGAAATGGGAAGATGGAGAATTCCCATTGACTTGGGTACTTGATGATACAAACACAACAAAATTCCTGAATCAGCGATAGAAAGAAGGAAAGTAATTACACACAGCATATTCTCTTTAAACAATTGCTTATTCTCTCCTTCCTTCCTTCCTTCCTTCCTTCCTTCCTTCCTTCCTTCCTTCCTTCCTTCCTTCCTTCCTTCCTTCCTTTCCTTCCTTCTTTGTGTGACCCGGTTTTTTTTTTGTTGGGCATTTAAGCTGCTTTCTTTTAAAAATATATATTTTGCTGATTATGCTATTACAGTTGTCCCATTTCCCCTCTTTTATTCCCCTCCACCCTGCATACCCCCTCCCACCTGCATTCCTCCTCTTTAGTTAAAGTCCATGGGTCATACATACAAGTTCTTTGGCTTCTACATTTCCTATACTATTCTTAACCTCCCCGTCTGTCTTCTACCTACCATTTTATGCTACTTATTCTTTGTACCTTTTCCCCCTCTCTTCCCCTCCCACTCCCCCAATGATAACCCTCCATGTGATCTCCATTTCTGTGAATCTGTTCCTATTCTAGTTGTTCACTTAGTTTGTTTTTATCTTTTCTTTAGGTTCAGTTGTTAATAGCTGAGTTTGCTGTCATTTTACCATTCATATTTTTTTATCTCCTTTTTCTTAGATAAGTCCATTTAACATTTCATATCAGAAGGCCTGGGTGATGATGAACTCCTTTAACTTGACTGGACTCCTTCCCATTATCTGGGAAGCACTTTATCTGCCCTTCCATTCTAAATGAAAGCTTTGCTGGATAGAGCAATCTTGGATGTACGTCCTTGCCTTTCATAACTTGGAATACTTTTTTCCAGCCCCTTCTTGCCTGCAAGGTTTCTTTTGAGAAATCAGCTGACAGTCTTATTGGAACTCCTTTGTAGGTAACTGTCTCCTTTTCTCTTGCTGCTTCTAAGATTCCCTCTTTATCTTTAATCTTGGGTAATTTAATGATAATGTGCCTTGGTGTGTGCTTCCTTGGGTCCAAATTCTTTGGGACTCTCTGAGCTTCCTGGACTTCCTGGAAGTCTATTTCCTTTGCTAGATTGGGGAAGTTCTCCTTCATTATGTTGTCAAATAAGTTTTCAATTTCTTGGTCTTCTTCTTCTCCTTCTGGTACCCCTATGATTCGGATGTTGAAACATTTAAAATGGTCTGGAGGTTCCTAAGCTTTTCCTCATTGTTTTCAATTCTTGTTTCTTTATTCTGTTCTGGCAGAATGCTTCTTTCTTCCTTCTGGTCCAAACCACTGATTTGAGTCCCGGTTTCCTTCCCTTCACTCATGGTTCCCTGTGCATTTTCCTTTATTTCACTCTTAATAGCCTTAATTTTTTCCTCTAATTTGCAGCCATATTTAACCATTTCTGTGAGCATCCGGATCATGAGTATTTTGACAACTGTGCATCTGATAAGTTGGCTATCTCTTTGTCACTTAGTTGTATTTTTTTCTGGAGTTTTGATCTGTCCTTTCATTTGGGCCATATATATATATATTGTCTCAGTGCATCTGTTACGTAGTGAGGGGTGGAGCCTTTAGTGTTCACCTGGGTGGGGCAACCCACATAGCTGTGTTGTGATGCTGTATATGGGGATGGGGTCCAAGAGGGAATGGCGACACTTGCTTGGCTCCCTGACAGCTTTCAGTCACTTACCCCACTACCCACAAGCAAATTGGGCCCTCCTGGTGCCGATTCCTAGTGGGTGGGCTTGCGTATGTTCTACGACGCTGTTGGTCTCTCCAGCAAACTGCTGTGAGGCTGGGAGTTTCTCCCGCTGCTGACTCAGCCTGCACAGGTGTTTTCAATCAGAGGTTTGAGACTTTATTTCCCGGCGCTGGAACCCTGGGATGCGGGGTCTGTTGGGTTCCCCAGTTGTTCCTCCCAGTTTATCCACACATGAATGAAGGACTGCCTGGTTCACCAGCCGCCGCCTTGCTGACAGTCCTCTCTGTCCGGCTACACGTCTCCACCCCTCCTACCCGGTTTGGGTGAGTGTTTCTTCTTTAACTCCTTAGTCGTCCGACTTCCAGACAGTTCTGTTTTGTGGCAGTTCTGGTGTTTTTTTGTTTTTAAATTTTGGGTTGTGCAGGGAGGCACAGTGTGTCTACCTATGACTCCATTTTGGCCAGAATTTCTGTTGTTTTTAAAGATTTTATTTATTTATTTTTAGAGAGGGGGAAGGGAGGGAGAAAGAGAGAGAAACATCAATACATGGTTGCCTCTCACGTGGCCCCCACTGGGGACCTGGCTCGCAACCCAGGCATGTAATCTGACTGGTAATCAAACTGGCAACCTTTTGGTTTGCAGCCTGCACTGAATCCACTGAGCTATACCAGCCAGGGCTCCTTTTGTTTCTTTTGCTCATAGTTTTAGCAAAGAGAATTTGACATAAATAGTTAAAAGATGAGCAGCAGAGGAAAGAAGAGATAAAGCTAGGCACTCAATAATCCACAAAATATTAGACTACATGATTTTGAGGGTCCAGCCCACTTTTCTAAGACACTGTTTTTCAGAATAATATTCATAGCTAACATCTCAATCACTTGCAATATATGATATCAATTACATGCATGAGCTCATTCAATCCTCTAACAGATTAGAAGTCAAATCTCTTTCGGTCATTTCCCTTTCATAGATATCTTCATGTGCTGAGGCTTAGAACGGTGATTTGGTGGCCACCAAGACAGACTGTGAGGCTGTCACTATACTCTACCACATTTATCTACTTTTAATGACTCAAGGAACCCATTATTAGGATGGACTGACTGACTTGTCATGAAACATCTCTAAGATTCGTTAATGATTCATGTCTCTGATCTTATTTAGACAGAAGCTTTCTCCTTCCTCATTTTGGGTGGAGGTTCCTTGCATGCTCTAGTTCCTACCAGTTACCGGGGCAGGTCTCTACAAAGGAGATCTATCAGCCTAAGGGGACTATATTAGCATCCCGTTGTCACTATTATTTCTCTTGATAGCATCTATCAAAAGTTTGAACCCCCCTCCTCCCTTCCCCTCTAAAGATAAATAAATTAAAATCTTAAAAAAAAAAAAAGTTTGAACTCCATAATTCTCTGTGATTGATTGTTAAATATCTGTCTTCCTAAGCAGACTGGAAGCTATATGAAGCCAGCAGAGTTGATAGACACTTAATATATATTTTTTTTTTTGCATAAATGAAGACACTGCTCTTTGGGACCTCGTGAGTTTGAGTATAACCGTCTGGTGTTGACGGGGTGTTTCTCCATCTTTTTTTTTTGCATCGAACATTCACTGTGAGGTAGATATCAACATAACTCCAAATTAAGCCTTAACAAGGAGGTAAGGCAATATGTGAGATGGGGAAACCTAGGCATTTGCAACTATTACTTGGTCAAATTCTAGTGTTCGGGCCAAACATTTCACTAAGCTAAATTTCCTCGTTTATTCACACACACTGAACATAATATGCTACTTTTCTAGGCTCTGGGACAGAGCAGGGAGCAAGAACAAAATGTGTAAGTTGAATGGTATTGAATGAAGAGGGGAATGAAGGAAGGAACGAGAGAGGGGATTGTGTACACAGAGAGAGGGAGGGTCGAAATTTTAGAAAAGGAGGTCCAGGTAAGGGCCCCCAGCGAAGGTAGCATTTATAAAATGGGAATACAGTGTCTATTTCAGAGGCTTGTAGCGAAGACTTAATATCAAAGTGCACGGATTCGTAAAAAATTTTCAATAGGTCCAAAAGCT